CCCCCCCCACCTGCGCCACTTCCGCCCCCCAACTTTTTTCCCTCGCGCCGGCTCAGATCATCCCGTCGGCACCACACCCATGATGTCGCGCTCTCTAGGCGGGGTGCTGGACGAGAACCTGCTGGTGCACGGTACCAAGAACGTCTCGGTCGTCGATGCTTCCATGCTACCTTTGCTCATGAGCGCTCATCCTCAGAGCATCATCTACGGAGTTGCCGAACTCGCAGCGGACCTGATCAAGATTCGACACGCTTGATTCGCCATTCGCCATTCGCCATTCGCCATTCGCACTCCTGTCGCTGCCGCTGCTGCTGCAGCATGTCAAGCCCGCAATCAAATGAAGAACAAAAAAATTGTCAATCATCTTTTGTGTGGCGAGGGGGGGGGGCATCGAATTTCTCTTGCATTGCGCTCGAAGCCGCCCCATTTCTCGTGGCACGCACGCAGCGCTTTCTGAACGCCTTCGCCGCACTTGCACCCATCTCCTGATCCGCCCGCCCACGCACAGTCGCCGACGAGTGACGAGTGGGCAGGGGAAGGGGGTTGGAGGGGGGGGGCATCGCCAAGCTTTCTCCAGGAACTGCACCGTCGTGGCCAAGGCGAAGCGCACCGAAAATGTCAAGCGCTTCGCGATGAGTCGCGCGGGAGGGAGAGTGGGAGAGCGCTTGCTGCGCGGTTCGTGACTGGCCCTACACTTCTGTCCTAGGCATTCGTGATTGCAAAAGGGGCAAGCAAACGTCCCATCGTGCTCAGCCCGCACATGAATTGCGCGCCGCCAACTCTGGTATCCTGGCGTTGCAACTCCGCACGCAGACGGTCAATGCAAAGCGTGAAGGAGCCTAGCATGTGATTGAGGATATGCCCACGAAACGCGAGCCGAGCCGAGCCGAGGCGTGGCGTGGCGTGCGAGGTTGCACGGAGCGGTGAAAGAGAGAGAAGGTGGAGGGGGGGCAATGGACGAGGCGTGATGCGGGTCTAGCGGAAGAGGTGACGAGAAGGAGAACTTGTCCGTCTCGCCACAAGCTTCTTCTAGCAAGTCAAGGGTAAAGGGGGGTCTTAATAGTACACGATACAGTCGAGCAAAAAGAAGGTTCCGAGCGATCATGCAAAAAGTGTCTGACTGTGCCGAAATAATCATCCGCTGCACATGGTGCAAGCTGGGGAAGAGAGAGAGCAAAAATCAAGAGAGTGAGCTTCAAAGCGTCGTGAACGAATGGCAACTTCCGCACACACACACCGCGAACTCACCACCAGGATTCTCGAGACTGCAAAGCAGCGCAGCAGCTTCGCGTTCTCTCTCCGCAGCTCTAGCCTTGGCAGCTTCAAAGCCTTCGTCTGCAGGCGCGCTGGTAGAAATCTCCGTCGCTTTGCTCGTTGCAGGTTCCGCCGAGACGTCGGCTGCTCGTGCGGCATCCACGGGCAGGACAATGGGACTGGGCGCAGCGGAAGAAGCAGTGCTGGAAGACGCAGCGATGCTGGAGGGTGTGGGTGGTACGGAAGAGTTGTCGACTGGCGACGGTCGAGGAGCGAGGCTCTTGGCAGCGACGGCAGCTGCGGACGCCTTGCCGATGGGTGCGGCTGAGGCGATGGGTAGCGCAGCAGCAGCAGCAGCAGCAGCAGCAGCAGCAGCAGGCGCCTTGCCCTTGGAGCCGGCCTTGTTGGCAGCCTTGGCCGCAGCTTGCTCCTCGGCAGAGACGGTGAACTGAATGGCGTTGGCGGCAGGCCTGGTGCGCAGGTAGTACGTACCCGTCTTGAGTCCCTTCTTCCAGCCGTAAAAGTGCATCGAGGTGAGCTGTCCAAACGTCGGCGATTGCAGATGAATGTTCAAGCTCTGACTCTGGCAGATGAAAGCGCCACGATCGGCAGCCATCTCGATGATCGACTTTTGCGAAATCTCCCACACCGTCTTGTAGAGCGCCTTGATCCTGTCGGGTATGCCGGGAACATTTTGGATGGAGCCGCCATGGGCAATGATGCGGTTTTTCATGCCCTCATTCCAGAGGCCCTGCTCGACCAGCTCGCGCAGCAACCACGGGTTGACAACTTGGAACTCTCCGGCCAGCACACGACGCGTGTAGATGTTGGATGTGTAGGGCTCAAAGCATTCGTTGAAGCCGAGGATCTGAGAAGTGGAGGCGGTAGGCATGGGTGCGAGCAGCAGCGAGTTGCGAAGACCGTGCTCGGAAATCTTGCTCTTCAGGGTGGTCCAATCCCACAAGTCAGAAGGTGTGACGCCCCACATGTCGTACTGCAGCTCTCCCTTGGAGGCGGGCGAGCCCTGGTAGGTCTGGTAGGGACCGTCGCGTTGGGCAAGCTCGCAAGAGCGCTCCAGTGCGGCGTGGTAGATGGTCTCAAAGATTTGCTTGTTGAGCTTGCGCGCTTCGGGCGAGTCAAAGGCCATGCCGAGGATCATGAAGGCATCGGCGAGACCTTGCACTCCGATGCCGATGGGTCGGTGACGGAAGTTGGAACGACGCGCCTCCTCGACGGGGTAGTAGTTGACGTCGATGATGCGGTTCAGGTTGCCACAGATGACCTTTGCGACGGCGTGAAGTTTCTTGAAGTTGTACGACTTGGTCGAAGTGTCGATGAACGATGGCAGGGCGATGGATGCCAAGTTGCAGACGGCAACCTCGTCTGGCGCAGAGTACTCGATGATCTCGGTGCACAGGTTGCTGCTCTTGATGGTGCCCAGGTTCTTTTGGTTGCTCTTGCGGTTGGCCGCATCCTTGTACAGCATAAAGGGGTTGCCAGTCTCGATTTGCGCTTCCAAGATGGCGTACCACAGCTTTTGCGCCTTGATGGTGCGCTTGGCGCGACCCTCTGCTTCGTACTTTTCGTACAGCGCTTCAAACTCCTCGCCATAGACTTCGGCCATGCCAGGGCACTCGTTGGGGCACATCAAGCTCCACTCGCCGTTCTGTTCGACACGCTTCATAAAGAGGTCTGGGATCCACAGCGCGTAGAACAATTCGCGTGCTCGCACTTCCTCCTTTCCGTGATTCTTGCGCAGGTCCAGGAACTCGAAAATGTCAGAGTGCCAGGGCTCGGCGTAGATGGCAAAGGCGCCAGGCCTCTTGTTGCCACCTTGGTCAACGTAGCGTGCAGTGTTGTTGAAGACTCGCAGCATGGGGACGATGCCGTTGCTAAAGCCATTGGTGCCTGCAATGTAGCTTCCCGTACCGCGAATGTTGTGGATGCTCAGACCTATACCACCGGCAGTCTTGCTGATCATGGCGCACGTCTTGAGAGTGTCGTAGATGCCGTCGATGCTGTCATCCTTCATGCAGACGAGGAAGCACGACGACAGTTGAGGGTGAGGCGTGCCGGCGTTGAAGAGGGTCGGGGAGGCGTGGGTAAAGTACTTTTCGGACATGAGGTTGTACGTCTCGATCACCGAATCGACGTCATCGCCGTGAATGCCAACGGCGACGCGCATAATCATGTGCTGAGGACGTTCGGCGACCCGTCCATTGATGCGAAGCAGGTATGATCGCTCCAGCGTCTTGAAGCCAAAGTAGTTCTACAGCGTCGAATGGAGCGAGGGGTCAGCAGCGCGCGACGGACGCGCAGCAGCAGCAGCAGCAAGACGACTTACGTAGTGGAAATCGCGCTCGTAGATGATGGCAGAGTCGAGCTGCTCCTTGTTCTTCATGATGGACTGGTACGTAGCATCGCTAATCATCGGGCTGTGCCGCCCGTTCTTTGGGTTGACTGCGGTGCCGGGGGCTAAGCAAGCTGAGCCGGTGGACGATGCTAGCGCATACACGCCGCACACGCCTCATATCGCCAAGGCCAGACGACACTCACCATAATCGTACAGGTCCTGCACCACCTTTGAAAACGTCTTGCTGGTCTCCTTGTGCAAATTGGAAATGGCGATGCGCGCCGCGAGGACGGCGTAGTCCGGATGGGTGGTGGTCTTGTACGCTGCAGTCTCTGCGGCCAAGTTGTCCAGCTCGACGGTGGTGACGCCAGAGTAGATGCCGTCGATGACCTAAGCCGGAGTGATGCGAGCCGCGGTGAGAGGGGAGAGTGTCAGTGCGGGCGGGCGGGCTTGGCGGTTCTCGCGGTGCTCTTTACTCGTCGAGGTGATTCGATGACGCGACGCGTTGCGACGCGTGCCATCTCCCCTCACGTCGACGAGAGCGCGGGGACAAGGCGCACAACGATGCCCCAACTCACCTTTCGTGTAATCTCGATTGGGTCAACGAAGGCCATGTCGAGTCCGTAACATAGTTTGCTGACGCGAGCCGTCACCTTGTCAAACTTGACGCTCTCCTTGCGACCATCTGCAAGGGCGAGAGTGGGGGGGACAGGGACAGTGCCGTCGATCAGCCCGTCGTCACTCGCACAGACTGTGTACCACATGTGCTCATCACTCACCGCGCTTGTACACGTAGCTGAAGCCGCCCGACATGGTGGGCTGCGCGGTGTGGTTGCGAGCGAGCGCGGGAATGGAGCCGAGTGAGTAAGGAGAAGGAGGAGTGTCAAGAAGCGCTGCTTTGGAGGGCGAATGGAAGAAGTGGTGCGAGAGCGTCTTGGAGGAGATGACACCTTGGCAGGCTGCGATGGCAATGGCAATGGCGCTGGCGCTGGTGATGCCGATGGATGAGGTTGGGAAGCATCGAGCAGCGAGAAGCACCGATGCGTTTTATGAAGCATTCAGCAGTGATTGCGCGCCATGCCATGCAGCAGCAGCAGCAGCAGAGCTCAGCAAAACGCGCGCCGCGCCACGCCACGCCACGCCACGCCATTCAGATCGATCAGCACCCTTTGTGTTGCTCTGCTGACACCGCGGTCGGGCGACGAGATTTAAAAAAAAACGCGACGCGCTTCACTGCGTGTGGCCATGCAAAGTGCATGACATGCCATGCATCAGTCACGCGCTCAAACGCGTCCCTCACGTACCCCGCGGGTCGACGCGCGCGCTCGGCCGTAAGTGCATGCCATGGCTGTCGCGTCGAGACGCGTTCATCGAAGAACGCGGATTCAAGAGTCACGAGCTGGCGACCTGCGATCGCGATCGCGAGATTGCGATTGCGATTGCGATGGCGATCCAGCTTGGCTTCACAGCACAGATCAAAAACTCACGACTGGTGACTCGCGAGAGCGGACATGTCGTTGTCAGGTGCGTGCCTGGGCTGATGCACGATGATCAAGCTGCGCGCCCTAGCTAGCTGCGCCGTGCGTCCGTCGTACAGTGCCCGCCGACATGCTGCGTATGCGAGCACAATCCCAGTCAACGAGTCGAGTCGAGTCCAGTCGAGTCCAGTCCCTCCCTTTCTCAGGGTTTCAGTGTTGGTCTCCGATTGACGCTCTCTTGCAATCGTGCATCTACAGTATCTGCTTTGCGATCATCGGATTGGGGCTACGCGTAGAGATTCCAGCTCGCTCGCTCACCCCAGCAGAGTCACGAGTCTGACCTTGCAGATCATAAACGCGACGCGAAGGTAAGGGCGCGTCGCGTTGCGCTCGTGACACATCCGACGCCCCACATCTCTCTCTCTCCCTCTCGCGCGCGCCCGACATGTCACTTCAGTACGACACGAGCACACAGGAGCATGGGATACGTCATGAAATGCTGGGAGAGAGAGGGCAAGTACATGCGGCGGGCGTGGTCTCAACACAGGAACGTGTCATTGTCCACTCAGAATTTGCGCTGGATGGGCAAGATGGCCTTGCCAGGCTTCGTAACGACGCGAGGCAGCGTGAGCCTCTGATGCGTCGTCCTCGTGTTCCACTCGGGTCCGATCGGGTTCTGCATGGCAAGCTGGTACTGAGCAGCGCTGGTATAAGGAAAGGGCAGATCCTTCGCCTTGAACTTGTCCGCCTTTTTGTCCCTCTTTTCGTTGATGATGACGCCCTTCATGTTGGCATCTTTGCGCTGAGAAGCTTCCAATCCCGCAATGGTTCGCGTGTATTTGCGCTGCTGCTCTTGACCGCGACCGCGGCGAGCCTTTTTTACCCCTTTGCCACCCCAGCTACCCCATCCGGGCAACGTCTCGTCCACCTCCATGGGCGCATCTCGCTCCATGATGGCCTTCTTGTCAGCTTCGAATTCCGCCGACACATCGTCTCCCGCGAAAGCTTCCGCAACCAAGTCTCGCTGCTGCAGCGCGCCAGGAATGCGAATCTCTCCCCCTCTGCTTGCGTTGCGCTGGGCAGACACGAGCGCGGGCTCATCCGACTCTGAGCTCGAGTCCGAGTCCGAGCCCGAGCCCGAGCCTGCGCTACTGTGCTGCCGATTGTCTGGTTCATCTGCCTGTGAAGGCCGTTTGGCGCTGGCAGCAGCCAGCGCGGATTCGCCACTCTCCGCACCCGCGAAACGCAGTCTGGCCTCTGGATCGATCTCCAACCTCGCGTCATCTTCCGCGTTCATGCGTCCCTCTTCTCCCTTGGCACGATGACGCTGCATCCTGTTAGCAGCTCTGTCCAGTGCGCTCGCGTCCTTGGCCACCAACGTCTCGTTCTTCTTCCTCGATACCTTTGAGCCTTGGTGGCTGCTGCTAGACATCCAAGGATTGGCGGCGGCGGCGGCGGCGGCGGCACCAGCTTCGACGCTCGTACCTCGAGCGACACTAGACTTGGGTTGAGAGACCAAAATCGGCTTGCTCGATTCGAACGCGCTGGGTTGGAGGGTCTCTTCGTCGTCCACGCTACGAGATTGACTCGCTTGGGTCGCAAGTCGATCTGTCGATGCGGCACCTCGAGCCTGCTTTGGCGCGTACGTTGCTCTTCCAGTGTTGCCCTGCACAGAGCTCCGCACGCCATCCACCGTCGCAGCCATATTCTCCTCATGCTCACCGACGCCTTGCTTGTCAAGAGCAGCCATCTCGCGCTCAAAGTCGTCCACCTCATCGCGGCGCTGTTGCGCGTCACGTTTGCGGGCATCGGACATGAACTTCATGTCCCACACGGCAGCTTTCTTGCCGCTGCTGCTGCTGCTGGGAGCTGCTGCGACTTTTTCCTCTTCGCCTTGAAGTCGCCTAAGCTCGTCGAACGGGTCCTCGTCCGGCTGGTCTGCATCGTCGCTTTCGCTCTCATCGGACTCCTCCGCTTCATCGTCCGTCTCCGCACCTTGTATGCGTCTTCGCAGCCTCTCTCCGCGCAAGAGCTGTTCCTCGATGGCGTTTCGTGCTTCGACATTTTCCATGGTAGCGTGCTTGCCCACCAGGTTCTTTGCCCATCCACCCGTATTCTTGTGCTTCAGCGTTGCCCTCTCCATGGCGCGGTCCCTCTCCGCTTCCATTCTGTCCTCCTCCTCCTCCCCCTCCTCCTCTCCTCCGCTTCCCAATCCAGCTTCCTTCTCGCTCGCCTTTTGCCTCTCGCGCTGCTTTCTAGCAATCTTTCTGTACGTCTTGCTCTTGATCTTCCTCACCCGCTTGGCCTTTTGCTCTTCGCGAAAGAGCAGCTCCCTCATATGTCTCAGCTCTTCTCTCCTCTTCTTGATCTGCTCGCGATCCATGCCTCGCTCATTCATGGCCAACTCTTCCGCTTTGCCAACATTGCGATCTGTCATGCCTTCCTGAGCGAGCAGGGCGGCGATGCTGCGCTCCATGTCGTTGGCCGGCTTGACATTCTCGCTGCTGGTCAGCGCGGCCACACTTTGGGGCACCACTTTTTCGTCTTGCAGGGGAAAGGACAGATGCTCGGCTTCTCGCAGCCTCTTGATGGTGGGTGCCCAACCCTCGACTTCCGCTTTAGATTGTTCGTGCGCTGCCGCTCGATCTATGCGATCCTGCAGGATGGATGGCAAGGGAGCTTGAAGCGGTGCTCCTCCTTTTCTCTTGGATGCTCCTCCTCCTCCTCCTCCCCCGCCGCTGCCATCTCTTGCGTGCGCGCGCTTGACGTCGGACAATGTTTTGGCAGTGTTGCGCAAATCGGTAAAGCTGGCGCCAGTCTGACCCAAACCTGCCAGCAGATCCTCTACGCGCACCTTGCGCCCACCGCTGCCAGCTGCCGAGTATGCAGACTCTGGCACAGCTTCCGTTCGAGCGGATAACAATCTTCGCTTGCGCTCCGGTCGCTCGTCGTCGTCGTCGTCGTCGTCGTCGGGTTGAGGGCCCGCTGTGGAAGTGGGAACTGCGGCAAGTGCGGCCATGCGTCGCTGCAAAGCATTGCCGTCGTCTTCATCGTCGTCGCTGTTATCCTCATGAGCACCAGAATCGGACTGCGTGGCGGCGGCATCATCTTCTTCGTCGGTGTCCTGTAGCATGCGGGAAATGTCCATCATATCGTCGTCGTCGTCGTCGTCGTCGTCACCATCGCCGTCGTTATTTGCGCGCTTCCTCTTGGAGGCGCGATTGCTGACGGGCAAGAGATCTGCGAACCTATGCTCATCCGCCTCGTCCCACGCTTCGTCCGAGTCGATCTCCTCGTCGTCCTCTTCCAGCACGCGATTCTCTTCCTCGCTATTCACGTCCAAGAATGATGCCGGACCACGACCACGTGATCCGCTTGCCTCTAACGATGCTCCGGCTTCTTGATCGCTATCCACATCGCCGCCGCCACCGCCTCGACGCACATCAGCATCTTCATCCGCCGCATCATTCACCAATGCTCGTTTTAGTCTCCTCTCTGCGCTCGATGCCTTTCCCTTGCCCTTGCGCGCACTACTTGTGCCATCATCACCGGCGTCGTTTGTGAGGAATTGGTAGACGTCGTGGATGCTGCTTGGACCGGAAGCGCGAGCTCTGCTGCTGCTCACCCTTGCAGCTGCTTGACTGCGATTATCGGTGTGCGTGCGTTGGTGTTTGCGATTGTGAGAGATGCTACGTCCACCTTGCGCGCGAGCCATGGTGGGGATGAAGAATGGGCGCGCGAGTCCGGAGTGGAGTGGAGTGGAGTGGAGTGGAGTGGAGTGGAGTGGAGTGGAGTGGAGTGGAGTGGAGTGGAGTGGAGTGGAGTGGAGTGGAGTGGAGTGGAGCGGCTGCGAGGGGCACTCTTGGCTCGTGACTCTTGGCTCGTGACTCGTCACTGCAACCTTTCTCTACGGGGCCCACACTTGAGCAGAACACTTGTGAGTGATGCTGGTGCTGATGCTTGTGCTGATAGCGTGGGGGTGTTGGGGGAATGGAGCAGGATGATGAAAGCAAGCGATGCAGAGACGTCACGCTTGGAGTTGGCATATGGCATGGGCGCGCACTGCCGCGCAAATCTTGAATTTCAAACTTGAAAGTTTGCAATCGTGAATCTAGAATTGAAATTTTTTGTGGTGTCAGTCACGTGACCTGTTTGTATTAGGAGATCCTTGCCGGGCCGGTGGCGACCGGTCATGGTGGGACGGGTGCGGAAGCGGCGGGGGCGGCTCCATCAGTCCATCGCGTTTGCGTGCAGCATGCAGCATGGCGGTGCAGGCAGGCGGGCAGGCGGGCGGGCGGGCAGGGTGTGAGTGACGTTTGTGAATCTCGGCTCGTGACTTTTGTGACTGCGCACCGCCGCTGCCGTCTTGGAACTGGCTTATGTAGCTAGCTATATATAGCTGCTGCTCATCCACCACCAACCCCCCCCGGCGCTCCCTACTCGGACATCCCTCTTCAGGACCACCGCACGCACGCTCGCACGCCCGCTCGCGCGCTCACCATGACAGACACCAGCTGGAGACAAACGTCGAGCATGCTCAAGACGCGCAGACCAGCACCGCGCGTCTTGCAGATTGCTATTTGCAATCCTCCTTTTAACCTGTTGAGTCCATCGTCCGCCGCATCACATCGTCACAGCTTGCTGCTGCTGCTGCTGCTGGCTCACTGACAAGACGGCACGCATGCACACGCGCGCGCTCCGCCCACGCCCCACCCCCACCCCCACCCCCACGCCCACGCCCAGATTGAATGGGGACGTGCTGGATCAGCTGGCCGCTACACTGCGCTCCCTCACTGCCCACGACACCGGCGCAGTGATTTTGGGCTCGGATCTGCCAGACATTTACATTAGCCATTACGACGTGGGCGAGATTGCCGATCTCGGCGATCTCATCCCTCACCCCGCCCTCTCTCCTCCTGCCGCCCTGCTTCGAGGCGCGCTGCACCTGGAATCCCTTCTCAGCCTCATCGGTCTGCGATGGCTGGTTCGCAAGTCGCCGTTGGGTGGCATGTCCAACTTGAACTCTTATCACGAGTGCACCGCGCTCTTGCGCAGCGTACCCCAGGTCACCATCGCCATGATCAACGGCAGAGCTTTTGGCGGAGGCTGCGAGCTGGCATTAGCCTGCGATCTGCGCATCATGGTCGACACGCCGGCCGAGGGCATTGCAGGTGCAGGTCAAGCCATCAGAGGCAGCGGCATCGGTCAGCCAGAGATCACGTTGGGCTTGATTCCGGGTGGCGGGGGCACACAGATGCTCACCCGCAACCTCGGTCCCGCAAAGGCCATCGAGATTTGTCTGGAAAAACCGCTATTGAGAGCTGCAGAGGCGCTGCAGCTGGGTCTGGTCACCAGGCTCGTGCCTGCTCGCGACCTCTTGCAAACGACGCTGGACATGGCCATCAAGCTGTCCAAGCGATCACCAGCGGCTGTAGCGGCCATCAAGGATTGCGTGCACATTGGAGCATCTAGCAGTCTCTTTGCAGGCATGCAACGCGAAAAGGCTCACTTTGCCGTTTGGTGAGTGAGCGAGGCGGGGTAAGCGTGCGCGTGCGCGTGCATTCGCTGCTTACTTTCTCGCTTCCGCTCACACGCTCGCTCGCACGCTCCGCCGATCTCGTAGCGCCATGCAGCCAGAGGCACAAGTAGCCATGCACAAGTACCTCGACGGCATCGACGGCATCCTCGGCTCCCAAGGCGGTCTAGAGGCTTTTGAAGATCTGGATGAAGGCATATTCTCCGACCTTACACCAGGCAGCGCCGCAGCAGCGAGCAGCGCAGCCGCGACAGCCGCGACAGCCAAGCCCAAGTCGCTTTGATCGTACGACTTTCGGATGGCATGCGAGGCGTGCGAGGCGTGCGAGGCGCGACACTGCCGACCACTCACCCGCCGGACCTGCGCAGGATTTCTAGCTGTATCAAGCCGTGTCTACCCGGGAGGTGAAATGTAATCGCTCCGAGCGTGCGGCTTGATGCTCGCGAAGCTCTCCGTGACATTGCGCGCAGCAAGCAGCGAAGCAAGCGTCAGAATCGTGAATCGCTCAGAGGTGTGGGGGCACAGCGCACCGCACCGCGTCCTCGCGCGCGTGGGACGCGACTCCTCGACGCGACGCGCACCGATCCGACTCGGCGAACTCGTGTCTGCCTCTGCACAATCTCACATCTCGACTGCCTCCAAAGCTTGCCGGGTGTTTTGGGGAGCTTGCCGTCGTCAGCGTACAGCATGTTGCCCGCGTTACGAAGCGACCCCTCATCCATCCGACTCGTAATCGGCACTCTTGTGAGCTGTGTTGTGTGCGTACGCACGTGGGGCCCAAAATACGGCGTGTACTGAGGCTTCAGCGGTGGCTCGTCCTGGATGAAGGCAAGCGTCGTCATGCGCGAGATACTGCAGGCAGCCGAGAGCTTCAGACGCGCGCTTCGATGTGTATGCCAGCATCCGCAATGCTCTGGGGGTCCGCGAAACGACGCTAGCACACGAGAGTACGCCGAGGGCAGCAAATCGTTGAAGAATGTTGCGGCCGCCGTCGAGTTATGCAGGTCATCTCGAGTACGGCGAGGGCAGCAAATCGTTGGAGAATGTGGCGGCCGTCGAGTTATGCAGGTCATCTCGAGTCGAGGCACTTTTTGCTTCCAGGAAGCCGAGCCGAATGCCGCTCGCAAAGGCTCTTGTCGACGCGTGGCGGCCGGAGCGTACGTAGATCTCGCTCGCAGACGCGCGCAGAGCGAGCACGTCAGAATCTGCGGACGTTGAGCCGAAAGCACAGTCTGCTTCGAGGAAGCGGGAAAGATACGTCTATAGTGAGCAAGCTGGCCCCCTTGGACGATGACGACGACGGACGCAAAGGCTCAGCGCCGGTTGGTGTCACACCAGCATTGCCGCGCCGTTATCCATCACCCTCTGGTGCAGCTGCGACGACCAGCTAGATATAGAGCCACTCCAAGGCTGGCTCGGCGGCCGTTGCGAGCTGAGCCGTGCATAGTCGTGCGTGCTTGCTTCTGAGCAGGGCTCAATGCGTCTTGGAGCTTCGTCAATGCGTCCCTTCGATCGATGCGGATGCGAAGGATGAGCTCTAGGGCGGCCGGCCCCGTGGTGCGCATCGGACAACCTCTCGAGTCCGATGCTGCAATGCCGTCCTAGCATTGTTGCATCGAGCACATCATCACACATGTGCTGACCCATCCGCTGACGTGGCGCATCAAGTGGTGTGCGCAGAGGTTGTCGTGTGAGTGTATGTGGATGCTGGCCATGGTCGAGGAACCTCACTGCTCGGCAGGGGCTGCGCGGCCAATGTCAGCCTTGATGAGTCAGAGACGACGTCGAGCGCTGCCCTTCACGTCGACTGGATGTAGCCGCGCAGCTCGGCGCTCATTGTACCGACGAGCTCCCAAAGAGCCTTGGCCAGGCTTTGAAAAAAAAAAAAAAAAAAGGCCGCGACCTAGCGACTACTTTATCGATGCCTTTGCAATCACCAGACTCTCGCAGTCACACTGCGCCGGCTCGTGACTTTTGTGAATGGAAGCGCGCCTCTCACTCGCAGATGGTTGCGTCCCTGCACAGCGAGCGCTCTTTGTTGCGCTTCACACCAGAGGCCCAAGCAGGTTGACGCTTTGCTGTGCGGCACGATCCGCAGCGCGTTGGCCGAGAACAGGGTGAGCTGTAAAACAAAGTCCGCGTGCGCCGTTGATAAAACTCGGCCAGCCCGAGCAGTAAAAAAAAAAAAAAAAAAAACTCTAATGCTGTGGGTGGGACTCGAACCCACATCGGCGACGTATCTCCCCGCAGATGATGAGGAAAGGAGGCAAGAAATGAATCTCGCAAAGGGCATACGAGGTTTCGAACGGAGCACTCTAAAAGTGTCTCCGCAAAAAATCCTCTAAATATAAGCATCGAGTGCTACCATTGCACCACCGCAGCAGCGGCGGAGTGTGAGCATTTTAGAATATACAGAGCGTACCACCGCTTGATCACCATGTATACATGCTTCTCATCCGCGTGCGAAAATGCGCCTGCGTGCGTGTGAGCCTCTGCAGCCGCGCGGGGTGCATGCAGCGCGCCCCGCGTAGCGCTGATGCTTTCATCGCAACGCTCGCGCGCGCACTCGCTCGATCACAATGCTTCCAGTCCGCGCGCGCACTCGCTCGAGACTCATTGCGCGCGTCTGGCGTGCCCGCTGATGGTCTCATTGCGGGTGTGTGCGGGTATATACATACATGCGAGAGCGATCGCGGCCAGAGCTACCCCGGCAACTTTTGAACGCTCGAGCTACCGCGGCAACTTTTGAACGCTCTCGCAAAGCGCCTCCAAGAGGTTCGACGCAGCAAGCCACTGTGGTTGGGCGTCCAACTTGCGCCGAAAGACCTTGTACCAGTGGCCAAGAGGTAAAGTCAGGGCGCGCTCCAAAGAGATGCTACCAACCCAAAAGTGCTTCTTGTACAGCACCATGCACAAGGGCGGCGCACAGATCTGCTCGATGAGCCCAGGCGTCGCCAAGACGGGCGCGTGCAGCGTTTCACGGAGGCCACCGATGTTGCCTTCCCAGACCAAGGTGACCACAAGCCGCGCCATGACCGTTGCTGCCAGAACAGGCTCCCATCCACTCGCGTCGAACCAAGCCTTTTCGTCGACAAGAGGCGCTTCAGTCCGACTGAGGCGGTCAGCAGCCGACGTCGAGCTGGGATCAACGGCAGTCCAGAATTTGCGATACGTCGAGAGGTGCTGATGCATCTGTTGGCGCATCTCTGCGTACCTCTCCTCGCTCCCGAGGTGATGCAGCGCCAATGCCCGATATCCGCACTGGCCGTCTGCCTTGACTTGAGTCAGTGTTGGCCCAGTCCCGTGTGCTCTGAGGGCGTCAGCAAGGCGCGCATCGATGATTGTGTGATGCGAGTGAATGGATGGTATTCATGAAGCAGAACGGATGCATGTAAACGGGTGTTTACATAGGACGCGCGTGCGTGCGCGCACGTGACAGATTGCAGTGCCAAGCACCCCAGCGATTGCCCATCCTCGCTGATCGATCGTCGTCCAATTCTTGAATGCTGCCATGACGGTGACGCAGAGGCGGTCGGCTGAGGCCTCGGACGCGAGCCCACCACCAACGTCCTGGGCAAAATCAGCTCAACTTGCCCGTGCTTTTCTGAAGCTGCAATAAGTAATGCACTCGGATTGGACTGGACTTGCTTTAGGAACGGGTATCGTTCCACATCCGCTGGGGGAAAGAGAGCTTCGTGCGCAGGATCGCCACTTGTGTTGATGGCCGCGGCGAGTGCCTTTGAAAATGTCTGGCACCACGCTTTGCCCTTGTCGCATGCACCGACGCATTCAATTTACCGCCTAGAACGAGCCGACTGGCAGCTTAGCTGTCTGAGTTTGCCTTTTCACCGCATTGGACAGGACGCTGCATCGAACGCATTCAGGTGGCTGAGCTCGCTTCGTCGACCCGCATGCACCGACATATTCAGCTGAACGACCGAGACTAGCCGACGCATCGACGCATTCAGTTCTGAGACGAGACTTTTGGTCGCCTCGACGACGAGGCATCCGCACCGACGTCTTCAGCTGAGCGGTCATCGCCAACGAGTCAACGCAGCGACGCATTCAGCTGACGGAGCCCGCAACCGTCTCGTCACCACGAGCCATCCGACGCATCCACGCATTCAGCTCGGCCTCATCGCGCCTGAGACGGGCCATCCGCACGCATTGGATCATCGCCTCCATCGGCTCGTCGCCACACTGCGCTCATCGCCGCTTGCACCATCCCGCTCGCGCCGTCGCCACACCGCGCACTGTCTTGCAGGATGCCGACCCGGGCTTATCAGGAGTTGGTCGAGGCGCTAAAGGTGCTTAGGGTTAGGGTTAGGGTTAGGGTTAGGGTTAGGGTTAGGGTTAGGGTTAGGGTTAGGGTTAGGGTTAGGGTTAGGGTTAGGGTTAGGGTT